ACATTTCCAATGCGTTCATAGCACTTAATTAAGGTGTAATTTTCAATATTGAATGCGCGGTAGACAAAGCAAAGTTTTGCCAATGGTTTTTCTTTGTGTTTTTGTTCGAAAAGGTAAACAACGCATAATGGGTCTGCGTTGCGGGTATTACAAAAGAAAAAAAGTGGTTGCTTTATGGAAAATGTAATTCATAGGAAATTAAATAGAAATTTAAGTTTACTTCAATAGACCCTGTGGAAGGTAAATATAATTGCTAAAAACATTTATTAATGTGAGGATTTCTTTGGTAGACAAATATTAAATTAATTACAACATTTTTATTATAATTATGTATTTTTATAATTTTACACTTTAAACAAGTAAAATTCTCCAAACCGAATTGGATATATCCTTGCAGCTATTGCAAAAATTAAATTTCCTTAAGATGATTATATTTATCGATTTTCTAACGCTTCAGGCACCTTTATAATATAGTCGTCCGATTTTTAATATTATATTAATAACATAATTCCGAACTTATTTTAATCCACCATATATCAAAGTATATACGTATATGTTAAAGGCAAAATTTATTTTTTCTATTGTTCTTGTGTCTGTTTTATGATATAGTAGCTTGGTCCGGTCCGATCCGACTTATATAAAACCTGCAATAAAAACAAATAAATAAAAAATCTTAAAATGAGAGAGACTAGTTTTCGTTGAAACGAAGATGGACGGAGGGAACATACAGAAGGTCGGACAGACTGACATGTCTAGATCGACTCTCTTGGTGGAGCTGATCAAGAATATATATATCATAAATCGTATAGGGAAGGAAAAGTCTCGTTTACAGCGTGGCAAACTTTTGACTGAAATTATAATACCCTCTGTTCAAAAATATATCTAAAACTTTTCTTTTTTTAAATTTATCTAAGAGAATTAAAGAACTAAATTATTAAAACGGCTTATACGTACTTCCACTGGATCAAGCTTTTATCTTCAACCAACTTGTAAAATCAATATAAATGGCGGGTCGACATTCCCCATTCATAATTTTCCACTTGTCATGTCCCCTACCATAATATCGTTTATCGCACAAACTAGAGCAATGACTTTTCATTGTTAGACTTCGTTGAGTCCAACGGAAAGGAATGCCAAGGACCTGCAGCCTATCCATACAAAATTATATATATAATGACCGAAAAAATCGACAAATTGAATTCACTTATGTCGCACACACTAGGCGACGCAGGTCGTGAAGTCAATGATGTGGTAAATTATTCACAGCCAATTGACAAACGGTGGCCGGGGTTAAATTATTCCTAGACCAATTAAGTAAAAAAAACTAACTATCTGCCATCTGATTGGTTTCATGCTTGACTTTTAATAGGACCATTGCAAGGGGGAAAGTTTAAAGCCAAAGTAAAAACTATTTTCAGCGTTTTACATAATTTATAAGCCAAAAGCAAGTCCAGTCAACCCTTGACGAGCAGTCACGCCAAAATCCCCGCAAAGCCGGAGCCTCTTTTGCCTTTTATTGGTTTTGCCTCATATAAAGGGAAGTACACGAATAAAAAGAAAATTGTAATATCAGGACGATTTTAGACACACTCACCTAAAACCTCACTGAAATGTAGAATTTAAACAAATCTACCTCCTATTAAAAACAAATAATATTATAATACTTCTCAACATTTATTTTTAAGAGTAGTGAACAGAAAACCTTTTTAAAATTGTAATAAGAAATTATCATCTCAGTTAAATAAGTTGCCTTATTTTAACTTGTTTAACATATAAATAGACTAATACTGCTTGAAATAACCATTTTTAGAAACGAGAGAGAAAAATGGTTGCGCAAACGTATGGGGCAAACCAAAAATACGTGTCGAATGGACTTCTTTTGAGTGCTCGAGCTGGCTTGGCCAATAAACATGGTTCCTGCCTCAGCACATTTTCATTTAACTAAAATTAAAATCAGCTGCCACCAATCCCCGCTATCCTTTCGCTTCGCACTTTCTCTCCGACTGTCACTTAGTGTATGTCCTTGTAGACTAAGTGACCGTTTCCCACACATGCCAGTTCATATTATCCGAGCGCATTTATCTCGCATTGGCAATTGGATTTGTAATGTGACTAAAGCCAGACAAAACGACAGGATAACAAAGCAATGGCAATGGTCATTGAAAAGGACAATTGTGTGTGCGAGTTGTGCATTTTCAAGCTGACGAACTGGTGACCCAAAGATGGTGCAGATGGGTGAGGTAGGTGGTGGATTATCAAAAGGTTTCAAATATGTTTCAGCAAAATGCCTTGACCTCGAATTGAATGCATTGAATATAGTATTGTTTGTCGATTTGGCAACTGGATTGCATCAAAAGATTAAAATGGAAGGATTTTCGTTTATATTGTCTATGTATTTCATAATATCTTTAATATACGTGTTTGTAAAATTATAATGGTGAAATGAACTGAAAACTTAAGGAGCTCATATATTTACTAAACTATTAGATTAAATTATGTATAAATGCATATGGCAAATCAAACTATGATCGATAAGGACTTAAATAAGGTAAGGTTTCAAGAGAATAAAAGTTTATTTTTTAATTTGAATGTGTTGAACTGCCTTATGTACTCTAAATAGATTTTCCCTAGTTGGGGAAAAGATTTATGGCACAACCGTAGACACACACTCGCACAAGCTCACAAGGCGAAAGTGTACAGTATATATCAATGCCTCCGAACCAAACTAGTACACATCATTACCATTACCATTCCCAGACTGAACGCACTAACCCAGGATATACAGACCTACTCGTTTCAAATCCGAAAACGCAGAGTTTAATGCGTCGATGGTGAAGGTGATGCCGACACTTTCGTTTCTCCAGTTGGGGCAAGGACAATTGAAGTGCACACACGTGGCAGAGTAGAAATGCGAACTTGGCGGTTATCAAGCCAAAAATTTGGTGTTCAAATTTGAATAAGCTTATCTCTTTTTGGATCACCAAGATTTTATAAAATACAGCCCGTTACGAAACCAAAATTTGTTAAGGTATTCTAATTCAGTTAGTTTTAAAACTAAAAAAAATTTCTTGTCATCTCAGTCTTTCCAGCTACCGCGTTTCTATCTGGTGAGCAAAGGAAAATGTATTGCAGGCGTTCTGCCGACACATGAATAGTATGTGAGAGCTGGCTTAATATAAGCTATGACATTTTATCTCTAAGTAAAACTAAACTCCTGATATCGGTTATTCAAATACAATTATATGTTTTTGCTCAAACCGCTCTGTGTACTACATTGGGCAACACTGGTCGATGTCGTGAAGCACTCAGTTATATTGTCCGACTGACTGAATGACGAACGAACTAGGGAACAGTCTGGGGGACGGCGAATCTGACGCACTGACTTCGCCGAACCACACCCAAAGTGCTTGGCCTGGCAAGTGCATAGATAACAAACGAGTGCAAGGATAACGAGGATACACGGCAAGGACTGCGTCTACAACCACAACTACGGCTGCTACTACAACAGCGACTACGTCTACGGAAATAACGCGAAAATGGCGCAACAGTAAGGGCATAGGGGAGACAGTGAAATATTGAAATACAATTGGTTTAGGAAAAGCTCCCTCACAACCCTATACCTTCCCCTCCTTCTCCGAGGACCAACAGGATGGCACTTAAAGATGGCGCTAAAGGATATGGGATAAGTGGTTTTCAGTTGGCTCACATTTCGCTTAAAGTCCAGCCAGTTGATTTAAGTGGGCTACATCAAATATTGAATAAGAGATTAGTTGTTCAAAGCTTGTCATACTCTCAGTATAATGAATGAGGTTAGTCAGCAGGTAACAATTTCACTGAAAAAAAACGATAGCTTAATCGAAAATAAAATATTAGATTTAATATTACAAAGTCAATATAACATTAATATAATGATAATACTTTTTTGTGATGTTCTGCTTAAATTAAAACAGAAATTGTCATTTATTATATTTTAGTTATCTTAACAAATAAAAAATATACGCATTTTACTCTATTACAAATTTTGACATTACTAAAATATATTTATTTCACAAACACACAAAAATATAACAATATTTTTGTACGGTTTTAAAAATTCCAATTTGAGTTAGAATCCATAAATTAAAAATTACCCAAAATAATTCTCCTCGAATTATGGAGGCTTTGTGTTAGGAATACATTTTAAGTGTCTTTATTGCCAATAAAACTGATTGGACTTATAGAGTCTTTGAGTTGGGAACAAGAACTATGTTATAGAAGTTTGCAAAAGTGATTGTTTCTCTGTTTTGATTTTTGCATTTTATTTTTGATCCAGGAATAATTTTTTCCAGTGCAGGCTTAAGGGGGAAAACAGGGATAGTCAACGGGTAACCCCTTGAAGTACTTGGCTCGGGACCTCGCGTTCGTCTGAGGTAGTTAAATTGCGCGTCAGTGTCAGCGGCAGAATTGAAATCCTTTTCCTCTGCAGGCACTCTGAACGCCCACCCTTCCCCGCGTTTGCCATGCCCCTCGTTTTGGCCCTGCGTCAATCACGAACCGTTTTCCCCCATTGAGTGGGACACGTTTTCATGGAACTTTTCCAGCTGCGCCGAAAAGTTGGCCACAAACAAGGCGACACATGACACGTACTCGACTTGACTCCACTCGAAGCATCGTCTCGACTGGCTCCTTGCCCTTTTCCTCCCAGTTTGGAGGGGATTAGTTCTAGTTTTTGTCAGTGTTTTAAAGTTTAAAGCTCTTTTGTGGCATATTTGCATATTAAGTGCCATGCGTTGGCATTTCCATGCTGCCTGCTGCTGTTAGTTTGGCCTAGACGTAAGCCATAGCCAATCTCAAACAAGGTAACCGCTTTCCGGGTAAAGTTGAAAATCTCAAAAAGCACCGTCAGTGCGGGATTTTCCTTTCCATCGGTTTTGGGCTTCCACCCACACTTTGAAGACCTCCCACTAAGCCCAACGAGCTGCTAAGTCAAATTAGAATAGATTGATGAAAACATATTGTCGCTTGTTGAGGATTTGTTAGGCATTTACACATTTACTATACATTGCGAGGAACATTAAGACAACTACAGTTATTGGACTTACAATACTTAGTTAAACCCATATGACACGTCCCTAAAATGGAAGATTGAAACACATTTACAAATCCTGACTTCCACATATAATAAGACAATCACTAGAGATTTCGGGAACTCATTCGTTTTCGGTATAAAAGTAAATTCATAACCAGAAGTAATACAAAAATGTAATCAGAAAACATAAAGGGTGCTAAATTAATTTCAGATCTCGTTTTAAAAAGTCTAGTGTCATATGGGCTAGCATTTATCACCTGCCAGCTAATACAAATGGGTTTCGATCGATAGTTTCTACCCTAAACATCCTTCATTAACCGTTCGATCCGAAGGCCGGTGGTCTTGACCAGGGCTTCCGCCGGATTGGAGCACCCGTTGACCACGCCATCGACACAGGCTCGCACTGTGACCCGGTAATAGGTCTCAGGTTCCAAATTGAAAATATAGTAGAAGTGCTGATTGCCCGGCAGCTCGATGCCATTCAAGGTCTCCTCAACGACGCACTTTTCCTCCACCTGCTGGACCACCGATGCATGTGAGTTCTGGCACTTTGGCATGGCATGGCGGATCTTGCACTTCTCCCGATCAAAGTCCTGCATGTCCTTATGCCTCATCTCGCTTTTCATGCGGAACATTTCGTAGGTCTCAGCGGCCTTTTTTACCAGCGTTTTATTTGTGAGCACTGGATTGGTCGGTGCCAGAGTAGTGGGCACTTCCTTTTTCTTCATAGTCAATAGATGCTCGTAGTCTACTACTTTGTCGAACTCCTTTCTTCGATTGTCGTAATAACGCCTGTCAATAAAATCGTTTTTTTATTATAATTTTAAAAATCAGTTTTTAAAATCAGTTTATACTTACGAGACGTAAATGAGATTGGGCAACGCATCTTCGTAGGTGATTTGATCTTTGTTGTAGTAATCCTCGTCGTCCGGTTGAGGACCCGAATAGTAGGGTAATACATCTACACAGTCGCAATCCAAATCTGCGATACTTGCGGACACGTCCTTTACCTCCTTGGTTACATTCTGCTTTTCATAGGTCAATAAATATTTCTTAATGATGCCGTTTGGACGACTAGGTGGCCACCAGTGAAGGAGCTGTTAAGCAATAAAATTATTTTACAATAAAATTATAAATTATTGAAAGACTCACAATCTGGGAGCTGATCTCCGAGCTGCCGCGGATCCGGACCACGGGACTAGGCCTATCGGGCAGCGTTTGGAAGTAAGCGATTTTCGAGTAGGCGTCTATTTGAATATGGTAATCGGTGCGAGTTAGGGTCTTCACGAAATACGCATACTGTGTATAGGGCTTTAGGTTGCGTATCACATGACGTCGGCTCTTGTTTGGCGAAATATCCATGAGCCAGCTGCAAAATAATGGGAGGAAAAGCTATAGATGAACTCCGGACTGGGGGAATACCTCACCCACTTGTCATGACCGCAACCATGCCGACCATCGTACATAGTCACGTTTTGCTGCGGGGCTTCCTTGTAGTAATACGAATATCCTATCAGCGTTTCCATGCCGTCCCAGTCCATATAGTCCATGATAATGCGCACCGCAGTGGAATTCAAATCCTCTACAACGGGCTTCAGGGACCTCACTCCGTCGCCACAAATCACGCGCTCACCGTTCGAATTGGGCGATACATCTGCCACAGATATATTCTCACCGCTCTTCAGCGAGCTCTGCAATTGGTGAATTTTTTCGTAGCACAGCCGGGGATTCAGGTGGAAGAAGAGCATACCACGCTGGATGATCACATGATGATTGGGGGGCCAGATGTGCTCCAGGTGGTAGTTATTAACCACGAAGAGGGCGTATCTGAAAACGGCAGAAATCAAAACTTAAACAATTTTTACGTTTGAATGTACTATATAAATAATTTTGGAGAATATAATTTACAGAATATTGTGCAAGGGTATATCAACTTCGGCTCCGCCCGAAGTTAGCTTTCCTATCTTGTTTTATTATGAAGTACTTTTCCAAATTAAAGAAAAATCTACAGCGTGGTATTGATTAAAATTAACTTACTTGTTTTCAACCAGCTTATCACCTCGAATGGAATCTAAGTTCTGAAGAAATGTTAAAGACATAAGCTGGGCAGAGTGTATAACTTTGAGGTAGCCAGTGATCTCCTTAACACTAACCAAAGCATTTTCCAAAGCTTCTACTATTTTCTCTGTAACAAAAAATATTTTTAAAATCATCGATTTTTATCATTAAATTAAGGTAGTAACAAATATTTGATTCCGAACATACCTTTAATGTTCGTCAGCTCAATGGTTAGAGAACCATTAATGGTTAAACAGTCCTGCAGGTCTTCTAAGTCGGCGGCACTCTTGACATGAAAATCGCCCTTACACTCCACTTGACATTGAATCATGCCCTTGGCATCCAGGACCTTCTTCTGATTCCCCGGACATTTCTTCACACACTGATAGCCACGTACCAAGGGAATCCTTCCCAAATCCTTGCATTCTCTCTTGCTGATGCACTGTCTCCTGTTTATTTCGTAACTGGCGATACATTGATTTACACAACCAGACTTTCCCTGGTAATTTGCACATAGTGAACAATTTTGTGAATAGCATCCAGTAACGCAGTTGTGGTCACAGCATATGCCCGCATTATCGCATCCACTTATACCACAGGCCGGTGGGCAATCCTTGGAACGAGGCGGCTGAGGACGAAGCTGGGCTGCGTTCAGATTCCAGCAATGCTCCGAGGCATTCTTAAGGAAATCGAACTCTGCTAATGGACCACCACACCAAGGACACTGGCCATGCGGCTTGTTATGCTTTTGACAAAACGGAATACAATAAAAAATTTTCAATAATTTTGAACTGGATACTAAAAAGTTCATTTTAACATATTTTGTGTCAGAAGTTAGCAACGCAGTGAAGAAGACTATCCAATGAATATTCAATTCACATTCTCTATATATTGTATATAGTGTATATAATACAGTTTTGATCGGGATCATCAGGCGATTCGATCTTGTCATGTCCGTCTGTCCGTGCGCTTCTATGTTAACTAGTCTCTAAGTTTTAATGCTATCTGTATACAAATTTACCAAAAGTATTTTGGCTATTTCAAAAAGACATAGAAGGAATCGCAAAATGAATAGCAAAAATACTATTATACGCATATACTCCAATTCTATGCCATTTGTTACGGCTTAAGTTGTTTTTTCTGAAATATGCACCGTTATGCCGTCCCGAAATAAACATGCTTAATTTTTACGATTTGAAAAATAAATTTTCAGTTTTTTCAAGCTAACTTCCTTTCTTGTATGATATAGGCTAAAAATAGCCCCATTAGCAATAAATTAGCTTATCCACACTCACCTTTAGAGAATAGTGCTGTTCAGTCGCGTTGCCCATGAGGTACATCCAATCAATGGTCTCCACGAAGCACAACATGGGGTTCGATTCGATGCGAATGAAGCCCTTCTGGACACGCAGTAGTTCCACCAGGCCCAGCTCCCTTAGATTGCGATTCTCGTAGACCACCAGAGCGTACTTATCGAAGAGCTGGGCCTGACCGCGAATGATCCGCAATCGGGGGAATATCTTCTGGAGGGTGAGCAGCCCGTTGCAGCGATACACCATCAAGTAATCGCTGATCTCGGAGACATTGCTGGCCAGCGATTCGAGGCTGTAGTTGCCGGCTGTGAAGTCCACATGGGCCAGTCGTATGTGACCCACCACGTACGTACAGTTCTGCATTTTCCGAAAGTCCGCAATCTCGTTTATCTCCAGCGATCCACAGGCGGTTTGGTTATCGGTTCTGGCGAGAACCGGCCATGGAGCTCCGAAACCGAAAAACACCAACAGCAGCGGGACCAGATGCCCCATGCTGCCACCTGACACTTCCAATTGAGAGTACTTGACCCGGGCGTTAGGGTTGGGGGGTTTATCGATCAATTAGCGCGCCCGCTTGAATGTCAATGTCGTTTTCCCCGCCCGATCTCGGCGGCCCACTGACTATATATGTATATATGTTTTTTGATGTTTTCCCGCTTCTTAAAAGCGTTGCTTCCCCGACGACGTTTCGATTTCAACTGATGCGATTCAAAAGGCGTTCTCTGCCTTCGATCTCTTTAATTAGCCTGCTCTTTCGATTTTCACTTTGTTATGTTTTGGTTCGCATTGTTATTTCTTTTTTATGCGCTCGTCTTCGTTTTCTAAACCCTTCGGTTACACCAGCATAAAAAGTATACATACTTTCCCAAATAAAAAAAAAACTAATTAAAAATCTGTTGGTGATTTTTTATATTGTATATTATTTAAAATTTTTAACTATCCACTTATTTATTTCAATATTTATTCAGACGAAAATAACTTAATTCCATGGAACAAATAAAAACAGAGTTTCATATTTTACCTCTTTGGATATTAAAATATAAAAATAAATATTTATTTATTTTTTAAAAGTTTACCATATAAATCCTAATTATTAATAAAAATACAATTTAATTTCTTGGGTGATTTCTGCTCTTTTTTATGCCGGGTGTACAAGAACGGCATGAGAATGGAGAGCAAAGGCGGTGGCTGTGCTGTGAGCGGACGGATGATATCGGTGCGGAGAACATATGTAGTGTTTACATTAATAAAAATAAACATTTATGGTCAGTCCAAAATATTTTATACATAGCACTCTTGAAGTTTGTTTTTAATTTCTCGCTCTCAGTAAATTGTATACTCCGTTCTGCTTCTCGGCCGAAAACTCTTTCTAATTCTTCTCAGAGGCTAAGTTTTTTGAGTGGTCAATCCCCTACAAAGTTTTCAATTATAAAAATATATTAATTTATATTTATTTTTTTAATAAAACTAGTGATTCGATTTTTTTAAGCTTTTACAAAATGAGCCTTTTTTTTAAATAGTTGTGTATTGTGTATGTACATATGTATGTATGTATATAAATTAAGTTCAAATCTTCTAAACGAACCCTGCTTAAAATTCTTTGTACGGCACTGTTTCATCTTGTTGGGGCGATCATTTCACGCATCTGTTACTTTTCACGTTTTTTCTTGTTGCCGCTTCCTTTTTGCCGGCAGCCCAAAAACACTTGTTACTTCTGCATCCGCAACTGGCCCCCTTGCCACGCCCCCGGCCCTGCCCCCCGTATGACCTTGCAAAAGACTGCGAACCGGTTTAGACCTCCCTTCCATTGTTCCTACCCTTTTCCCCACCGAGTGCATGTTTTGTTTTTGCCTTTGCACAGAAATTAAATTGCACCGGCGAACAATTCAATTAGAGTGAAGAAGAAAAGAGCAAAATATAAGAAGGCAAAAAAACAGCAAAAATAAGGAGAACAAAAAAACAGAAAAACCAAAGCTGAAATCCAATTGGAGGAATAGTGAGCAGTGAACAGTGCGCAATTGGCGGTTCATTAAAGTGCAAGTAACGCTGACGAAGCTAAATTGGAATCGGGGTAGAATTCTAAATTTAGCTTGATGCAAATTAAATAAGGACACCCTAGCCTGAACAATTTAAAAATCTAAATAAAACCACTTAGACATGAATATTATTTTTAAAACCAATAAAAATGACACACATTTCCGAAAATTAATAATATATTAAATATACATATATTGTTTTAATGAGCCTAATACAGCAATGGTTATTATTTCAAAATATTTTCCGTAAATTTCATTCAATAATGTTCTACTCTTTACTATTATTGTTTGGAAATCAAACAACATTTAAATGTTAGTACCATTAATTTAATAATTTTACTTAATAAAAATGTATGTTGCGGAAATTATTAAATTAAATTTTGACAACTGGAAGTCCATATTGAAATGTATCAAATACAAATTAAAACAATATATATAAACAATATCAGCACACTCTTTTATAAACCTTACAAAAATTCAGTAATTAACAAACAAATATTTTAAAAGGGTAGAGTTCTCTTCATATTCTTTAAAAAAATCATAGACTGCATTAATTTTAAACAGCGCAATATGCACAAATTCACACAAAAACACGAGCGACAGCAACAACAAGTCGCAGTGAACGTGTGAAAAAGCCGCACAGGCATAACTATCAATGATTTTTTTGTTAGCTGATGTTCTTTTTTTGCCCCCGACTGCGAATCAATTTTCGCAGTAATTTGTAGAGCCTGCACTGATGTGTAACGCGCGAAATTTAATGCAGCATCCTTTCCGGCGGCACGTCAAACTATGAACACCCACACACACCAACAGGGCAACCCACACAACCAAAGGCGCCAATTATTGAATATGCCAGCAGGCAGCATTACAGGAGCAGCGGTTAAAGAGGGGGTTAAAAGGGGGGTAAAGGATGGGCAGGAGAAACAGCCACCGTTGTCGATTTAGCTATTTATTTAAAAAAAAATTTAAAGCTAAAGACTTTTGAATTTATCATGTAAAATCACACAATTTCTACCATTTTCCAAAATTTGAATTATTTAAATATTTATATCATTTTTACTTGGCCTTAGAATATATATTAATTGTTTTGAATTTTTAAAGTAACCTTTTTTCCATAATTAAAGCCGTTAAAAACACTATTTTCATAACTTAGACTTGAGACTACAAATAACTTTAACTATAAACTTTTTTCTCGGCAGCTTTTCCGGTCGAGTATTGCCATCACTGATCCACTTAATTCGCACGGGAGTTGGAAGATGGTGATGAGGCGGTGGACTCCGGAGTCACAGGAGTATCGGAGGCGGCAAACACGTAACGCCATTTTGCGGCGCGTGATATGAATCGCTAGCGTGGACGTGTGCATATGCCTAGAAGCAGCAGTTGGAAAAGCGGGGAAAATCGGGACCTAAGGCCTGTGGGAAAAGGGATTGGGGAAAACTTGGACATAAGTCAGGCCGTGAGTCGGCGGTCCACGCACGTCGCTGCATTTAAGTGCCAAATTAGGAGGAGTCCGTGGCCAACGAATCCGGAGCCATGGATGTCTTGCACATGGCTATTGGTCATAAATCAAACGGTCGATGCAATTTATGGCCTTGCCAATTCAATGGGCCACTGCCGCTGCTGCTGTCTCATCATGACCCATTATTATTATTGCTGTTATTATGGATCCCGTCTTGAGCCAGAGAATTAATTAAGTTTGCTGAAAAATGCAATCCGGCAAATAGACAATGGCAGCAGCTGTTCCTTCAGTCCTTTTACTTCGGCTCCTTGAGTCCAGTTCTGAGCAGTTGCATCCTGATTGATGTGGCACCTCGCAGCAGCTGACAGGAATCTCAGCCCGGCAGGCTGATGCAATTTGACACATGACAAAGCAAGCTGCATAGTAACTCCGACACAACCAAAAGCTGGCCAAAACTATGCCCTTTAACCTTCCCAGGCACCATTTCTTTACGAAAGGGTAATCATTGAGAATTACTTTAACAATTTAAAAGCCATGTAATAAACACAAGTGGCTGAAGCACTTTTCTATTATTTAATTCACTTCACGCTTTATATAATTGCACTGCTCTTCATTTGCACGTGCATTTTATAAGACTCACTTCAAAAATATTTATTTGAATTTCAAAGCGGATTTAAATCAACAAAGTAACAAACCTAGTTCATCTTAATTGCTTTAGAGTAAATCTCAATTAAAATTTTATAGGAAGTGTCTAGAAAACGTCAATACCATCAAATACTCACACACTAAGCTGTATACAAAATCAATAACACTCGAATTAAGAAGTTTTCGAATAAATAATAGACAAAATAACCATTCTTTGTAAATTTAAGTGAATAGTAAACTATTTTTCTCACCAGTTGAAAAGTGACACTTAAAAGTGCAAAACATTTAAAAAACCTCTTCCAATAAAGAGTTAAGTTGGCGATATGCCTTAAAATGTGCCTAATTGGCAAAAGTTTCTCAAAGTGCTAAGCAAATAATTATTTGCAATTTAAAATTTAACTTTGCAAGACATAATGTTAAAAAGTTGGTTGAGGAAAAGAAGTTGTAGGATTATGGGATAAAATGATTGAGTTGCAGCTTGGACTTAAATTATTTTATACTTAACTATTTGTCTTAACCAGTATTAAGAAGTTAGTTTTTTTATGTGTATAAATTTCCAAAGCAATAAACATTAGATATTATTTTATATTAAAAATCTTTTACAAAAGGTACAATTTTTCGTATAAACTTCACTCTTAATCAAAATGTTCCATTGTTACCCCTTCCGCTTTTCAAAGCATCTGCTAAAAGCGTTTCATATTTTACGGCTCACCTCATAAAAGCAAAAGGTTGACTGGTAGAAAGGCAAGGCGGAAAGTGCCCTTAGTTACAAGGATATGGGCAACCTTTATGCCACTTGCATTACGCATACGCCCTGTCGTCGCCGAGATCTTCAAGTTTATGCTAAAAAGTCGCACACAGACGCAGCCGGCATTTGCCTCCTTGCATTTCCCCATTTTTATTTAAATATCCATATAACCCCTTGTCCGCCACCTGTTCTCCTAGCTCCGCTTTATGCGTTCCTTTCATGCAATGCAAATCGTTGGAAAAATAGTTTATTTTTTTTACATATTTTTATGAAACTTTTTCTGCCTTTTTCCCTTTGTTGCTTAAGCATGTAATTTATGTATTCCTGAATGCGCGTGTGTATGCGAGTGCCACAACAATTTGCATATGTGGGCCTCACCCAGGTGGCCGCCTCTTTTCTATTAGCCACGCATAAAGCTTAATTTATCGACGCCTGCAGCCTGGAATTTTCGCTCCCATTTTGACCAGGAAGTTGCAGTCATTATTTTTTATACCCTTGGTCACTCCACAAAAATTTGGCTATCAAAGAAAATTAATAATGCACAAAAGAAAAGGGTAAAGTAAATATCTGGCATTTCCACTTTTGCGTGCGATTGAGGAATTTTGCGTTAAGGAATGAGTGCAGAATATTTCAAAAGGTTTAATCAGCCGTTAAATGTTGAAAAAGTAAAAAATGCAGGGATATCATGTATACTACACTAGGAAAATAAACTGAATAATTTTCAATTTTGATAATGACAGAACCTTAAGCAAGACGGAAGTACACAATCAAAATGTTAATTGAGTTTAGTTTTCTGG